TTCGTCCACTTTAATACTTCTTTCCACATCGCTTCTCCTTATCTTCAAAACAACACTAACAAACAAATCAAAAACGTTCTATACTCATAAAATCTCGCATTTAATCAAGCTAAAATTGTGCGAAAATCATGAGTGAAACAAACTCATCAGAAAGCCAATCAAAATAGCCAAGATACATTCAGCTGTGATTCTTCCCTAATCAAATCAATTTCATGGAAAGCCAATCAAGCCAGCAAGATATTTCTCCTATTCTGTTCTGCAATTACTACAATCATGGAATTTACCAGTACACCTGTTAGAGATTAGAATTTGTGTCTGCTAGGAAATGCCAAAAATAGAGAGATTGCAATATTTCTACAGCATAGGGAACCAGTATAAATACACACACTTGTATAGTCTCCAGCCACGTTGAGCTGAGATCCTTAAACCATCATTTTTTTCTTGACAAAGCACAACATGCACGTACAAAGGCACTATCACTGTTTAAGGAAGGAACCTGTCCTCTAATGGTATGCAATTCTACGGAAATATGATAATTAATTATTTTGCTGCATACTTGGGTTAAATCTATCCCATTTTGGTAATTAAGGCCGTTCCAGTAGTAATATGTGACTGAGTTGACGCAAAGCATTTTGCCATATTTTGCCCTGTTCTTTTATTGATTTGTAGGTTACTGCTAATTCATTATGATCCATTGCATTTCTTGAGCTCTTCACTATTATGAGTTCTTGTTTTTACACAACCTCCTCTTTAGTTTTACTTTCCAGATTAATCATCAAATGTTTCTAATCCTTCTGGCAGCCTTCAGGAAAAAGAATTATGTCTGCTCTGTAATTTGTTAACTGTTGAATCATCTGGAACATTAGCTTTAATACAGCAGATTGATTATCCCCTTTGTACATGGTTGGCATCTAGTTGAAATATATTATTTTTTACGGACATAACTATGGTTTGATCCATGCAGATTGTGTTACTACTGGCACCTTCACTTTTTGTGTTTTCTTGAGGAAATGTTGTCGAGGTGCTAAAACAGAGCCCAACCCATTTTTATGCAATGCTTAGGGATGGAAGTGTATAACATTGAAGAAAGTACATATCATTAAGAAAATAAGAAAACGAACAGCTGCGATTAAATCCTCTTTAATGTGATAGTTTTTCACTTGATGTGCTAACATTGGTAGTGACAGTTCAATATTTTTGGAGCTAATCTTCGTGCTTTTACTTTTTCTGAAATATCAATCGAGACCTTTTACGCTTCTTCATGTTGTGGATTGAAAGTAACAGCTAAAAAGGTTTTAGGTGGCAAGACCCTAAGTTTAGTGTGTGTAATAAAAACTGACTTTTGATAAAGGTTTTCATCTTGATTCTTGTAAAAAATGACATAAATCGTATGATTGTTCTTAAAATGTTGTGTCCATGGTTACTAACTGATTAATCTTTGGCATGGTTGGCTTCGGTTGCAAGTCGGGTTTTCTATAATAATGATTTTGTTTCTGCAGATAGCCACTGATGTGGCTGCACGAGGATTGGATATTCTTGATGTTGAAGTTGTAATAAATTATAGTTTTTCGCTGACGGCAGAGGATTATGTCCATAGAATTGGGAGGACTGGACGAGCTGGTAAGAAGGGGGTGGCTCACACTTTCTTCTCTAAGGACGAAAAGGGTACATTTTTATATCTTCAGTAAATATTAGTTTGATATTTTCTTGATTCTTCTATTTATTCAGACAATAGGTACTTAATTATGCATTGATACAAGCACTAAATTCTCGTAGGGACTTGCTGGGAAGTTGATAAATTTCTCCAGGAAGGTCAGCAGGTCGTACCTGAAGCCCTACTAAAATTTGGGACTCACGTAAAGAAACAGGTAAGAATATCTTTTTTCTCGAGGAATAGTATATAATAAGTAGGTGCTTTGAGCAATATAAGGTTACCTAGAATCTGATCATCAAAGAAGCTAAGAAGGCTCCTAGCATTGTCCTATTAGAAGGTCCTCTAGCCAACAATAGTATGTTTGCAGTGTCGTTTCATTTTTGAGAATCTTCATTGGAGGTGCCAATATCTGTCATTGCACGAATGTCGAAGTACGTGCTTTCTCTAGCCAGAAATCAACATTTGGCTGAAAGACAGGACCTTAATTTGTATGAAAACTGGAAAGAAGAAATATATATTTATCTAATAAGAAAGTATACTGAAAGAAGCAACAAAAAATATTTTCAATATAATTGTTGTCCAATCTCTTTGAATAGCTGCCACTGATATAGCGTAAACTGTGGGTTTGTTTAGGGATACAACTTTTTGTACTGTTCGATGTTATTTTAGTTTTAGCTTGTAAAGTATTGGCAAAAAGTTCAAGGGGTTGAACCGGGCTTTGTGAAGTATAAGATTACTGAATGCCCACGTCCATACTATTGAGGCAAAGGGATAACAAATTTATTAATTTGGAATAAAATCAGCAAGGACTTCTATTGCGTATGGGTTTCAAGATTGTTGTACTTGCTATTCATTCGTCTCAGATACATCCTCTGATTTTGCATGCAATTTCTATATGGCTTGGTTTGATCTATGTCTGGTAGTGTTATGTTGTTCACTGACAAGTTACTTCAATGCAGGAATCCAAGTTGTATGGTGCTTATTTCAGGGATATCGATTGAAATGCTCCCAAGGCTACAAAAATAAAGTTCGACTGTTCTGACAATGAAGATTGATTCAAGGGGTCATGCAAAAACGATTCTTGGATAATTTGATTCGCTCCAACGTCACAGAAAATGTGAAAGCGTGTGGTGCCATAACGATAGGAAGCCTAGTATAGTTTACGTTCTTGCATATCTAGATAGTAAGTTATTTAAAGGATAAATTTCAGTATTTTTTAGTTTTATTTTTTCCCCCTTATGTTGTCGTCCTATAATTCATGTGCCCAGATTTTCAGTTTGTTTCATTGTGGGATGTGAATTATGATTAATTGTGGGAATCATTTATTAATCCTGCTGATACAACGTTGGTTAAGGAAAGGTTGTTGAGGTTAATTCAGGTGACAGCAATGAATGTATTGACTCATTTCGTCTCTAGTCTGTATTTTGCATGTCTTTTTGACTTATAATTATGGAGATGCTAAACTTTCAGCGAAATTTTAATTATATCAAGAAATGACTTCGAGAACAGTTCCTCCTAAATATTGTTATCATCTTAAAAGTTCCTCCTAAAGATCATTCAATTGAGTA